CCTGCGCACCCTGAATTTCCAACACTGGTCGAAATACCCCAATTCCGAACCAAATCTTTTATTTCTATTTTTACTTTATTTTTATATATACATTTATTTATTCCTTATATTTTATTTCTTATTCATATTTACTTACATTTTTACATTTTTATTTTTTTATTCGTATAACGTCGAAATTAGTTAGCTTTATTTAGAAATTAGCGTCGCAATTAAAGTGCGATATCGCGGCTAGAATGTTAGATTGCAATGAAGTTGTTATTAATTAATTTAATTGTATAAAAGAAGCTCAAATTTGACTTGCTTGTAAAATAACTTTGTCTTAAAATTTCATAATAAAAATTAACTTAGAAATAAGTTAATAAATTAGTTTCGACTAAGGAAAGCTTTGTTAATTAGTTTCGGCCAAATAAAACTAAATGAATAAAACAGTAATATTTTATTTAAATAAACTTTTATCATCTTTACCCAAAATTATTCGCTAATAACAAAATCAATTCGTTGATCCCTTATTCATTCTGATCCACGCAAAAATAAAAAATAATTGTTAACACCAATTAAAATACGCTCTCCCAAATTTAATCGGTGACATTATAAATCAAAAAATTGATTGAATAATCGATAAAATAGAACCAAGAAAAAGTCAATTCAACAATAAATCAGACAAACTTACTAGTGATAAACAATATTCACAAGAAATAGAAAATTTATGGACAAAAAGACTGAACTGAATCCAAATTTTTCATTAAGTAAAATGACCATTGAAATTCATGAATTATTTGGAGAAGGAAAAAGTGTTTTACGTTTGTATCGTCACTAGACACAAAGTGCTGTTTGTGAGACTGGATGCAAAGTATCCTCGCTTGTCAATGTATTATGATGGAATTCTTCATAAAATGTATTATTTCACAATCTATTTCATAATCAAATTATGCATTGATCGAGTAGACTAATAAATTAGTACAAAAATATATAACCTGCTGTATCGAAAACCAATTTGTGAAAAAAATACCATATTTTCTGACGATCAGTCAGTTTTTGATTGCAAGGATGTGAGGCATGTTGGCAATCTGCATTTTGGCCTTGTACTTTGCATTCGAATGCCAAAGTTGAGGTACATAGTGCCGAAATAGTATACTTTTGCGTGATGCATTTGAATACTGATCGAGGATGAGGCACGTAATTTTTCTTTACTTCTTTCTTATATTATTCTACCTTGGTGTATTACCAAAAGTATGTTATTACTATGTTTTGCGACTCTGGAACACTTTCTCACATAGTTGTTGCTTTAGGATACTACCATTAAACTACCAAAAAATCGGATCTTACCTTTGGCTAATACCATCTCTTGATGCCAAATACTACCAAAAAAATACTTTGGTTACTACTAAAGAAACACTTGCCTCACTTTCCTGGAATTTTAGTGATGGTCTGTCTCTCAAATGATACGATTTCAGACACCAATGTAAGTAATCTCAGACCCAGGCTAAAATTTCGTGATGCAAAATCCCCCTTTATACATTCCTTTCTTCACAAGATTAATACGATATATTGTATCTCCTTCTGATTAATTTATACAGTAGCATACATCTTTCTACTTCCACTTGCTCATTGAAAATTTCGAATCACTTTTCATATTATCCTCCAATATTAATTTTGCAATTCATGTTTCCCTTCCATATACCAAGTATTGTTAATTCGTAAA